CCTCCCTCCCTCCCTTCCTTCCTTCCTCCCTTCCTTCCTTCCTTCCTTCCTCCCTCCCTCCCTCCCTCCCTCCCTCCCTCTCTTTTCCTTTCCCTCCCTTCCTCTTCCCCTCCCCTCCTTCACTTGGTTCACTGGCGTCTGCTGCTCTACCACTTGAACCACCATTCATTTCCAGCTTTTTGCTGGTTCAGAGTCTCTCTGAGAGTGACAAATATGGTGATGCACACGCGTGCACACACACACACAGGCACACACACGTACCCACATGCACACAGGCACACACATGCACACACACACACACACAGGCACACACACGTACCCACACGCGCACACACACACAGGCACACACACACACACACAGGCACACACACGCACACACACGCACACACACAGGCACACACACGTACACACACGCACACACACACATGCACACACACGTACACACGCCACACACACACACACATCTTCTCCTGCCTGTGGTTAGGAGCTGCTCCGCGCCGGCCTCCCCCCCTGCAAACTCCATGGCCGCCGCCGCCATCGTCATGAGGATCCCTCACCATCGCTATGGTCACTGTCATTGCTCGAGGGCCACACGCCCCCCCATCCTCCCTCCCGAGTTATTCATGTCCATGATTCACTCGTTCAGTTTGAATCTGTGCGTGTGTCTGTGTTGCTTCTCTCCCCCACACCCCCAAAGCTGGCTCCCCAGAGCTGAGAGTCTCACAGGCCTTTCCCGCCCCGGGCTGACCTGGAACCGCGATCCTCCGGATCTCAGCCTCCTGAGTGGCCCGGATGCCAGGCCTGAGCCCCCCCCCAACCCCCCCCACACCGGCCCTAGCCTGGCTCTAACTATTTAATTGGCTCAACTCGGTTCTGCTGCAGTGAATAGATAATTCTAGAACGCGCGCGTCAGGGCTTGTTAAAAAATGAAGAAAATAAAAAATGTGGAGGATATATACATAACTATAAAGATAGTGTATATACAGGATATAGAAAGATAGAATCTAATGTATAGATGATATATATCAATATGTATATGTTTTTCTCTTGTTGCTGGAAAGAGCAATCTGTAGCTTTTATTTGCTTTACAGAAATGAAGAAGAAGAAGCCCAAGATGGAATTAGACTCCATGTGGCTTCTGGAGGGCTGGGGGAGGGGGAGAGTCGAGGACCAAAGAGGCAGCCTTCTAGAAGGTTCCCTCCCCCCCAGGTAGAGCACATTTACGGTAGGAGGCGGTTGCTGTGTCTCTGTGGAATCTGTTGCTCTTCCTCATGAGCCACAGATGGGGTTGGGGTTGGGCAGAGACACCCCGAGATCACACGGAGAGTCCCACACCCCACACCCCGGCCAGGGCCGGACACCCCGACAATTCCAGGGGGGCTCTTTTTTCCTGTTATTTTTTCCTCCCAGAGCAGATCTTCCTTTCTCTCTCCTTTCTCTTTTCTCCCCCAGTTGCTCCCCAGGGTTGGGGGATCCCCCATCCACATTGAACAGGGCGCCCCTGTCCCTCCCCCAGGAGCCCGGCCCTCCCTCCTGCACCCACCTCCCCCTCCTCCCCCTCCCCCAGACAACAGCTCAGGGACAAGCGCCCAGGCTCTGAGTTCAAGCCCCAGGACACCCACAGGGATGATGTAGAACAAGGACAAGGCTTTGAACTCTGGAGAACCCAGGACCAGAGGCTGAATTCCACCCCTGTCATTTGGGTGCTGGGCCTAGCCAGGCAGATGAAGCACCCTCTCTGTGCATGTGGGCATAAGACGAGCCCAGGGCCGCAGAGGAGAGGGGCCGGAGATATGGCTCGCAGGACGCTAACGAGAATCATCTTGACAGTCATGATAGCTAGTGTGAATCATGGCGGTGGGGATGATGATGATGATGATGGTCGTTTGTGACCTGCGGGAGAGCTCTGCGGGGCGCTGTCTCTCCCCCATCTCCCCCCTCCCCAAAGTCATTTTCTAGAATGCTTCATTTATTCCTTGCTCACGAGGAGGCTGAGGCTGCTCGTGAATGACTTGCGCTTGTGGAAAAATCCCACAGCCCGCGACACTGCATTTCTTCCATTTGAATTTAATTGAATCCATTGATCTGCTTGAATCCGAGTTCAGCAGAAAACCTTGGCCGCCCGCCTCATCCAACTTTTGGGGGGAAAATCTCTGGAACTTCTCCCCTTGGGCCTGGAAGGACGCCTCTTCAGGGGAGAGACACACAAATCTCAGGAGTCCCTTTTTTAAAAAGAGAGCAAAAAGGTCAGTCCTGGGACTTGAACTCAGAGCCTGAGCTTCTATGCTCAAGGCTGGCGCTCTACCACTTGAGCCACAGCACCACTCCTGGCTTTTTTGGTAGTTGGTGGGAGAGAAGCATCTCACAGCCTTTCCTGCCCAGGCTGGCTTTGAACGGTGATCCTCAGATTGCAGCCTCCTGAGTAGCTGGGTGGACAGATCTGGGGGCCCCTCTGTGCATGGAAAATTGGTGGTGGATTTTGGGGTTTGGGGGGGGAGCG